TTTGATCACAGTTGGTTGTTCGGTAAGCCTGTCATCCTGATTGGTCGATCAACATGTGACCTTTGAGCTCGGCCTCCTCTGACCTCATACTCTGGTAGCTGCTGAAGTGAACTTTGCTCTGAAATTATAACTTAAGCTATACCCTTCTGAAAGAAATAAAGCAGCACAATACCTTACTCCGGATCATACAAGTTCACAGATACTTGATACCGACCCCTCCTAACGTGAACATAACAGTTGATCTGAAAACCGCAGAAATTAGCTGCTGTAATCTGCTGAAAGTGCGCAATCAGAATACATTTGTTCTCTTCAGCGTCCTGTTTCAACATACGGTGAATGTTGGACAAAGAACAAAAGTTACTCCATGAGTTTGGAATGCTCCGAGGTTTCTAGCGTGTATCCAGTGTCTGAAAATCGCCCACTTATGGCAAAAAGTTGCAAACCATTTTGTATACCCATGTTTTCGATTTGCATCCACCTTGATTGGCCTCCGTTTCTATGGTCCTAACCTAAGTATTATAGTATTAACAAAGTGCAATGTTCTGGACCAGTGCAGTGAAAACGCGCAGAGTTGTTCCCCATTATACGCCCACACGCAAATGGATCAAACCAGTCTGGCCTAATTAATACACAGTACGCCAGCGAAGTATCAGTGTTAAACATTGATGTTGTACTTTCCATGATGATGACGACAATGATGATAGTGATGATGAATTAATACACACCCGAACGTAGATAAACAGCTCCACAGAGCATTTTTTGCGCTAAACGAAATCAGCATGGCACAGGACGTTTACTCAAAGTAAAAACAGGTTATTTGCTTTGGTCAGGGAACTGAGTGGTAACGGCATAACGAAAACCGGTCCAATCAGATTGGCTTTATTCAAACGAGGAAAATTAGCGATAAATTTTTGACATGTGATTCACAGATTTGGTTTTAAATCAAGCAGGGTAACTGAAATCACCCCCATTGTCCATTTCCGTCATCAGTACCACCATACCATTCTTTATCGCCTTGATTTTAATCAGTAAACTATGCAAAATAGCAATGAGACTTGCGGCGTCGCTGATGCCGATAACAGGAAACTTGCTATCTAAAAACAACACTCGATACTCGTGAGGATCGATGAAAAAATGGAAAACGTGAATTCACGAAGCACCTTGACCGTTTCCAGGGTAAGGGCTTGTCAGCAGCTACGGCGTTGTGACATGAGGACTATCCCTAAAAATTGACGAGCTGGTTGATACACATAACTCTGGCTCAGTATCTGCCGACCAGTAGCTTGAACAACTGTGACAATTAGCTGCTTTGCTTTCAGATGCAGAAATCTGATAAAAGCCCCGTTAGTCTGATCCAACGGAATGAACACCGCTACGCTTGTATCTTAAACATCCATCATCCCCAGTCGCACAGGAAGCTCTACCACACAACGTACCTCATTACTCGTTACACTTTATTTGATTACCACTTATAGAACTTCCTCGTGTTCGCCCTAGTCTATCATGAAATTTGTGGTCATCCGTTCAACTACAGCAGCTACTTAACACACCGAAATACATGCAGCTATTGATAGAGCCACCTTCGCAAAACTCCGTCTTACCGTAAATCCTTGCAAAGCGTAGTTAAAAAACAAGCTGATCAATTATTAGTAGTGTGAGGGGTTATATAAATCAGGGAATTTATGTTATAGAAAGGGAATGCTTCAGGTAAACACCCCGCCAGTTTCGGAGAGCGTGCGGTTTTCATCGAAAGCAGGTGATTCATGCAGAAGAAGAATTGTAATATACTCGTGGAAGGAAGAAGGCCTTCGCTGCGGAGTTATTTATTCGGAAATGCCAACTGACCGGTTACAGACCAGTGAACAGGGAAGCAAAACTCTAATCTGCATCTTAGTTACAAAAACTGGACACACATCTCCTCCCGAACGAGTCTTCCTAGAGATTCGTTGCTTCCACTCATTCGTCGGTTAAATCCAAGCGAATGTTACAAAGTGGCCTCACGAATTCCGCAACAGAATTCCCTTTTTCAGTCGACGCAAAGCGAAATTCTACGAACAACACGCACTACTCGCGTGCCTCCCGATCAGTAGTATCACCGTTACACTAGTAGCTGTCATTTGATCCATGAGCCTAAGAAAATTGGTTTTCTAGCGTAATAACCCCTTACTACATAGATCACTGATAACTACATAACGACTCAAACTTCTGTTTGCAAATTAAAAATGAGAACTAGCGTTTCCCACGTAAATAAAAACTTTGAACGTCTTGTGCGGATCATCTGATGTGCAGATGGCTAGATGTTCTTCAAGTCATCCCCTTGGAAACGTATGAATTGCGAGACGCATTTGACAAAACTGTTCATTTTCAAAAACATTCCACATTGTCGTTCACTCGTTATCTGGGCTGGGAAATTCGATTGCAAACGTTTCAGCACCAATTGAGGCGACATTATCAGTGTGGTACTAGGGAGTGTAGTGGGGCAAAGCGGTGGATCGGTCCACGCTATCTGAGCTGCAACTACTCTCCTAAATATCATCCACACTGTGTCAAAGTTGTTCAAATTCTAGGTTATCCGGGTTCCTTCGGTGGCTTATTGGTTACTTACTGAGTGGTGTGTAACAATCTAGGCATCCGTCTAGGCCTGGATAACCTGAGAGTATCTCCGTCTACATGCTACACTTTCGGTGGTGCGGCGTCCATGCCCTGAGAGGGTTGAATCTGAAATATTATAAATACTTTTTTGTACTCCGTAAATTGCACCAACCCTTCTAAACTAAGGCCGACTATGATAGATGCACCAAAGCAGGTACTGGGTCAGCCTACCTTAGTTAAATTACTGCACGAAATTAGAGGTGAACCGAGACAGATCTATAAATAATTTATAAACTGTTACAAAAATGAAAAACACTCGGTTTCTACACCGTCTTACAGACCATCTTATTTTTTAGTTAGCATAACAACGAAATGGGTCACCAATATACATTGATAAAATTGGTGCGCGAGTCCCATGGGACTGTGTGGTATGGGTGAAGAGACAGGAGTCTGGAGTCCCATATGCCCGGAGAATAACAGCGTCTTGTTCTCGAGTACTGTGGTCATCAGAACCAATTATTCTCATTTCATTTTCCCAAGTTTTTTTGGTATTGACCATCTCGTCAGCAGCCCAATTCTTTCCTTAAATTACTCCACCCAAGATGCAATATACCGGGAAGAAATATCAGGCAACCATTTTGAAGCATTTTGGTCTTCCTTGCAATGGCATGTTCTGTAATCATATGAATGAAAATACCTGATTACCGAGGCGGAATTCCGGCGGTGATGTCAATATTTTTCCTCTAGAATGGCAAGTCATCCATTAAAAGAATGTTCTCTCACCATACCGCAAATGAAGCCGATCTTTTAATGAAAGGCCGGAAAACACTCAACAGCTGTTTTGGGTTTAACAGGACCCATTAGCAGTGCACATCTCACGAAACTGAAGAAAGTTCCGAAGGCGAATCCACTGGTAAGTAGTTTGAAAATCGTTAATAAGACTAGTCAGGCTTTACTCAGATAATCCGTCACTCGAGAAGTCGATCAAAACGTGACCACGTAACTGAAGGCGAGTAGCGGTGTGATTTGTCTAAGTAAATCACACTGCTGATCAGCAGTGGCCTGGAGGTCGCGACTTCTAAACCACTTCAGTTTTGTTGGATGATCCACAGTAAGAATGAAGGAGCCGCACAATACTTTTCAGCATAGATCGGCTCTACGAAATTTCATTTCAACATTCCCAGATCTCTTGACTCGACCAAACTCCACAGAGTACGAGTGAAGGTTGTCCACGACACTATTAGGCATGAACTGGTGGATCAGTACCGGATTACAATGGTTCTAACCGAAATTGAAATCCACTCTTGAAAGCTGCATACTTCATTCTACAAAGTACTATCTACTTACCCAGCTGTGGTTCTGGTCAATTTTGATTGGTTACTACGTAAACCCCACAGAGGTCGATCGAAATAATCGATGCTGTATTTTGTCTGGAAAATGGAACGGACGTTTTTGGAACTTCCCAAAATTTTTAACAAATTCACTGCAAGTAAAACTTGGAAATTGCTAACATTCTACACAAAAGTGTTCCCATTCGAAAGTCAGCTCATACAGCAACTCCCTCCAACCGAAGAGACGCCACCCATTAAAGATGCAAAATGTCCCTTTTGTAAGCCTTTTTTAGGGAAAGCATAAATCGCACCAACTTGCAGTAATCGTCTTTAGGTCACTCGCTAGACCAAAACTTTGTCCGACATTCAAACAGAGTCAGTAGCAATTCGGTACTTACTGAGCAATGATGAACTATATACTTCCCTGCTCGATCTTGAAGGGAGACAAGTCTACAAACTTTGTGGATAAGAAACGTTTACTAGGATTCCCAGTATATTCCTATGGTGGAAATCTTCAAATTAATGATTTCGGCTTTTCCCCAATGTACCCACATGTATATTTGTTTTTTTCATGACCTGCTTCTAGTTTTATGATGAGAACTATGACATTCCAGGCCACTTCAAGTTTGTCATTTTTAAGTGCGTAGTTTTGTTAGGCCAAATATCAGAACAAGCACTCATCTAGAAAGATCGTTTGTTATTTTATCCACTTCTAGTACACATTCATAGAGTGAAAAGAAAACTGAGCATGACCTAACACAACTAAAGAAAAGAACTCCTGGTAATGTGTTGGAATATTGGTAGCTCGAGTGTATTAGTTGGTAATTGATTAGGTGGCTGATCAGGTGGCTCAGCGAACAGATCAACAGCCACCTGATCAATTACCAAAAGCACTCTTGTTTTGACGAGAAATGATGAGAAATCAAGTTGAACTCAAGTCATTGAATTTGCTTGTTATGGTGTTTATGACTGAAAATAAATTCAAGCGGTTTGTGTAATCCAAGGCTACCATAGATTTTTGCACCTAGTGTTAATTAGTGTAAGTTCTATTCGTGGCGCATTAAGACCATTTTAGTTGTATTCATTTTTCAACCTTCTCTCCCTTTGAAGCACTCCATTTGGGCACAATACATGAGCATTCAAGTGGTGTTTCTGATGAGCACTGCACTCTTCTTTGTGACCCCGATGTTTGTCATCACTATCATGTACAGCCGGATAGCGATTCAAATACGACGATCCAACTTCATACAACTTCTTGCACAGTCTACCAATAACGCGTCAGAACCGGTGAAGTTTACTACACAAGGACAGACAGCGGCGAGGAATAGAAAAGGTATCACAAGGATGCTGGGTAAGTACTCAATTATTCAAAAGCCGACCTTAGTAACCAGCGGTATCTTCCCATCACAGTAGCTTGATTAGTCAAAATACAGTTGGAAAATTTTCGCAATCAGAGACCTTCACGACAATATTTTCACAACAGTATTAGTGGGTTGAGATTCCTTGCAATTTCATGTCTAGTTTTTTTGATGACTTGTTTTCAACAAAATCACATTACGTCATTCCCATACGTCAAACCTCTCCCAATGGCTTTAATGGCACTAATGGTTCACTTTTATTCCAGCAGGCTGAGGCATTTTTGTCTTTCGCCAAAAAGATCTCGTACTGAGATTGCATGTTATATTCATTTATCTTCCACGGGGCGGTCAACTCAAAAAAATCTACCATTAAATCAGTTCGTGGCATTTCTCCTCAAATAGACAAACCACATACTCCGTTATCAGCGCTGGAGCTGAAGAATTTTTTGAACTGTTGTCGGTGACGATTGATGAATAAACCTTACAGAGCAGAAGCTTAATATAGGGTCTTTACGGTCAAGTGTCAGTCGGGTCATCGGAAACGTACGGCATCCAAATGTGACCTTTATTTCATTGACCGCAGACTACAGTAGGGTAGGCAAAAATCACTTGTTGACATGGACTGTCTGTCCAACTGTGTCACCTATACATAGTCGCCCGCACAGTTTAGCCAATTACTTGTGAGTAGTTTCCTTTATGAAAATATACTGCGATATCTCGAATATCGCGCCAACTGAAACATGAGGCGGCCTGTGTGCAGCACATTCAGTAGTAGAATATCATAAACGAGAGATTCAGTTGAGTCTCTCGTGTAAACCAAATCGATTTGCAAATGAGTGTATTTCTCGAAAACGGTCCGATGTGGGTTCAAGTAGAACATAAGGTTGACAGAAACTCGGGACGGCGCCTAACTGATGAGCCTTAAGAAGAGCGAAACCGGTCGTTGGCTGTCGAAGAGTTTTCAGCAACCTTGTGAGTAGTTTCCTTCATTCAATTACTAGTTAATTTTATCCTTGCATGTTTAGCTCTTTTGCGACTCTAGTGACACCAAAACTTCTGAAACCAGCTCTTTCGATATATATATATATATATATATATATATATATAGGTAGCTGTGTCAAGTAGACCGGCGCACCTAGGAATCGTTACTATTTGTAAAAATACCACGTGAAAAACGGTGACGTAGTTTTTTTTCTGTTCGTCCCTATTTTTCAAGCCAAGTAGATTTGGTACAAAGTACGTCAAGTGAACATGCCGTTTTCACTCTTTCTGAACAGCTGGTGGGCACGCGGAATCCCAGTACCATTACTGTTTACTGTCTCCAGTGTTCATCGACATGACCAGCCGTAAGGACTGCATACTCCTCGTCGCCAGTGTTACTGAGGGATGTATATTTTAAGACGCGTGTGGCGATTAAAATCAAGGAAAGTACACGGCAACCAGTGTACCTGAGAAGAATCTACTATTGCAAAATGTTTATGGACACCAAAGTAAGATAGCTCCGATCCAGCTACACCTAGAACACTTTGTGAAGGATTCTGGAACTAACTCGATTCGAATATATTCAAACAAATTAATTACAATTTGAATTAAAAATTCAACTGCAACCAACCTCTGTTGATGTTTGTGCACAGCCTCGGAAACATCGAATCTTGGCATCATATCTGATTACGTTGCACTTTGGTTTCACATTTTCATTATTTCAAACAACGCGGAGCATTATTTTTTTTAATAACGTCCGACTCGATCTGCATCCAGAGATGGACCGTAGATTGTTTGTCGTAAGCAACTGATACAAACGAAAAATTGGTGATCTTCATTGACAGGTGGCCAGGTTTAGATTGCTTCCAGGTTTGTTTTTCCTAGTGTAACGGTGATACTACTGATGGTAGAGACGTACGAGTAGTAGGTTTCCTTCTTGTAAATTCGCCTTGCGTCTTTTGAAAAAGGTCTTTTGCGGAATTTGTGGAGTCGCTTTGAGTTATTTGCTTGGATTTGAGCGACAGTCAATGAATATCCAGGAAAATTCAGGAAGACGCGTTCAAGAGAGGATGGATGTTCAGTTTTTGTAAACAAGATGCATATGAGAGTTTTGCTTCCCTGTCCAATAGTCTGTAACTGGTCAGTTAGCATTTTCTAATAAACAACTCCGCAGCAAACGTCTTCTTCCTTTCACTACTAGTTGTTTGTCCGAGCATGCTAGTTACTTGTCAAGCCACTCGAAGGCGATCACATTGCCCTAGGAAACCGTTTATTGTTATCTCGTGGAACGTACGAACACTACTGGATCAAGTGAGAATGAAGCGATACAGGATAGATGTCGCAGCTCTCAGCCAAACATGGCTTGCTCACCAAGTGAACTTTCATGAACCTAGCTCAGCACACACATCCTAATGGATCAGTGAATCGACAAGAGAAAATCAGGATTATCATGTTGGTTTCGTTATCTCTGACAACATTAACAGAACGCCTGGTACAGGAACCCACGACATCAGTCTACTTTGTTATACAATGCGCCTAGAATTGACTCGGTGCACACACATACGCATGGAAAAAACAAAAACTGAGAAAAATTCCTTTGCTGGGTGACCCCTTGGTCTAGGGGATCTTCTGACTTCGTGCTGTCCACGATACTGCCAACAGGTGAGTCTTTCTCGAGCAGCAACTGATCGCTACATGGACACACCCCTGCATTCCAATTTACTCGACGAGGGTAGTTTCACTCTAGAAAGAGTGAAACTCGAGGCCACTGCTTCCCCTTTTGTGGAAGCTCCCCAAAATAATTACGTCAGGATAAGAGGACGAGAGTTCTAATGAGAGTTCAGTCAGCGTGGATTAGTTTATCATTTGACAGTGAAACTTTCAACATATGTGTACCCCACGAGTGATGTAAGCACCCGACTGTGAAACAGGTCTTCACACCGTCTGAACAAAGTGCTCAATTGGGCATTCTTTGTTTCATTATGCTGAACCACCTCGGAGAACCGAGTCAATCAGCCAGCAATAACTGACGTCCGCAGTGGAGCTTTTATTCCATTTAGCCAACGGACAAAGCAAGGCACAAATTGTTACATAGATGACGGCGATGCCAGTCAGCCATACGGCACAGCTGCAAAAGAGCCACCATAATTTGCTTGACGAAAACAACCAGCACATAAAACAGCTGTTCATTAGTCTCATACGAGCACTCTGCTTCATCAGAACAAGGTCTGGATTCACATATCCGCAGAAGACTGTGTACTGCTTGTAAATTCACCCAATGAATTGTAGCGCCTAGCTGAGGGGTCTTCGACCGATTTGGCGCAGTTCGTCCAGCACGAAGAAAACTCTCGCAGTGAGCCTACTTGCGCCCTTTGGTATTTCTAGCCCTCTGCCAGTTCTAACATCGAAACGTGGTTGACGGGTTTCTGCACCTACGCCTGCCATTTTAGAAGCAATCTGTTTACTGACTTGACCACTGACAGTAAGCTGGCCGTGTTCCTCAAGGTATCGTGGTTTTTGACAAAATCCGAAAATGTATGTGGACGAGCTGTATCCTACGAATAGTGACCCAGCTATGTTGTACTCTTTTACGACAGTGAAACCCAAAATACATACCGGCGCAACCTGTGATGGTTAAGAAGCTCCTAATTGCACTGCTAGCAGCTGAACATGTGCTTGACCCAGAGATTCTCCAACGAATGCATCGAAATTAGACGAAGGCCACGTGTTTGCTGAATGGATGATAACAACGCTCTAAATCAGCTCTCACGTGACCAGCTAAACACGAAGCAGAGCCCTGGTAGGCAAGCCCTTTGATATCCGGTCAAACGTCTGAAGGCTGCTGAAATAGCTCCCGTGGAGTAAGAGGTCATTGCATACAGGAGAGAATTCCTCTAGCGGCTCTGTTCCTCTTCATGCCATTCAGTGAAATCCGGGGAGCTAAAAAGTGTAAAACGCAATGATTTCATGTTGTTTCCTGAACCTCTGAACCAAACAGCTGGATCTGCTTAGATCACTGACGTGTTTTTGCTGGATCCTTTGGGGTCGTTGTCCACCAGTGAACGTAAGCTTACCCTTCAGGGAAGTGTCGGATGAGGTCCACCTTAGCTTTCCAAATTTACCTGATCCTGTGGCGCTGCTGAAAGCGACTCTCACCTAATGCATCATGAAGCAAGCTCAATCAGAATGCCATGCGGACGCATTCCCGGTTTGGTTCGTTTACACCATATTATGCTCTAATGTTTTGAGCTGTAAATAAATGTATTCTATTGTTTTCTGTTTATATGTACTTCATGTCTTCATCTGCAAAAGCCCTGTACTAACACTCCCGGAGTGTTAAACCTACAACGACGATGGTGTGAACATTCTGTAACCATCACCGTTCAGACCCAGCTAAACAATGGAAAGTACTAGTTACCTATATGTGTATCTAAGATGCGCATCCTTAGCTATGCAGGCCACCGTGCGCCTCTTGTATGTGCTGTTGAGCTCGACTGTGCAGATTTACTCAATCGAATCGGCAGTTATGGGTCAACACTTGTGCATGGTGGTGGCTTAAATATTGCCTCCTTGTGTCCACACTCTAGACATATTCCATCCGGTTTACCACGGGTTAAAGACTTTCAGGTGAACCCACATGCATTTCAGTGCAAACCTGTTGTGCCTTACCCGTTGGGCGCATGTTTTCACCGAAGCCTTTTGATGTAACAGGCCCGTCCGAAAACACATGAAAGATCATCATTTAAAGTTTCCAGCTTAACTGTGTTCATGTACATACCTGTATGTATTTGCATATGTATGTTCATACTGTCCAACTTAATTTGGCCCAACCCCTTTGCTTGTACGGAGTGTACCGTATTCTCAGATATTCTCACAGTTAAAACGTGGCTTTGTGCCAACCTTTCGAGCATGAGTTTTGTGTAAGCGACACTCTAAATACTGAAAGTCTAAATATTTTAACATTAATTGGATTGGTACTTGTTTGTAGGTCTTCCAGCTTGTTTCGTAAAGG